CGGGAACTCTTGTCCTCAGATGTCCAGGCCAATCAGGGTGACATTCATGCCAACAGTCACAGACTCATGTGGCCAAGGACAAAATCTGAGAGGAAGGAACCTGAAGCCAGAGAGCTATGGGCAGACAAGCAGCCCACAATGCAGGACAGCGTTAACTCCAGACAACTCCTAATGCTCAAATGGGCTGTTGCCACAGACACCATCCTCCAGGTGAAAACAGAAAAAGATGGAAAGCTGATAAAAGGTCAGGTGAAGAGTTTAAGTCGCCAAAACTGACTGATGTGTTCACTGCAAAGGGACTACACCAAACAGTTGACATGTGTGAGATTTCACCCTCAGATTGGCTTTGCATCCAAGACAACGCAGTGTCTGTGCATGGGGTGCAGAGTACAGTCAAAGGTGCAGCTTTCGGGGAGCCCCTCTATTCCGCTGGCGACCAGCCTCCCTTAGAGTGCATGGCGCTGCCGGAGCAGTCACCAGGCCAGGCAACGGCATGGTGGGGGGTCTCAAGCAGGGACCCTCAACCAGGGTCCAGGGGGGACTCAACTCAGGGAGGCATTTCGTGAAGTTCTGCCTCAACACCCAGCCTCAGCGTCGTACGCACCCGCCTAACGGTGCCAGAACGTCTCTCTCAAACAGCTGAGTCCTGAGAAAACCGTGATCTCGCTAACCATACAAATACGTGACAAGGATTTCTGGGAAACTTTGTGCTTGCACGCATCTGAGCGACGATGATAACAAGAGCAGTTGACACTGGAGAGCGAAACAGTGCATGCACACTTACAGGCACCGACCCAGCATCTCACACCCACTGTCTCATCGTACCTGGTAAGATCCCTGTAATATAAGCACCAGGCCCATCTCAGAGAAGGGGAAACCAAGGCCTGTGTAACGTTCAGAATCAGACCACCATTACGTAACAACAACAGGATCTGAATCTGGGTCAGAATGCCATCAGAGAGCCCATGTTTAAGTCCCGGGCCAAATAACCCATCAGGACCCACACACGGTCCATAACACCTACCTCTATCTGCACGGATCACCATGGCGTCAAAACCACTCTGAAGCCCACAGGCTTTCATTCTGCTCCTGTACCCGCCATCAGGCAGGCTCAGGGTGGGGGTAGGAGGGAGACACTGGTCTCTGCTCGGTCTCTGCTCAGCTGGACGGTTTGGCTGGGCACTGAGGAACCCCCCCTCCCCCCACAGAGGGCTTGGCCGGCAGCTGCAGGCTGGTGCTAGCAGTGGTCTGGGGGCTCAGCCTGGCCCGTGACCCAGGGGATCCCTCCTGGCAGGGGTCCAAGAGGCAGCACCCCAGGAACAAAACGTGGTGTTAAGGACTGCTGAGAAGTCACATGCCACCACCCTGTCCTTGCCCCATCTGTTGGGAAGAAGACACAGGGCCAACCACAGCACAGCAGCCACCGGGAGATCAGTGGAAAGACAAGCGGGCAGGATGGGCGAGGCAGGCACAGCCATCTGTGGAAAATGCAATCTGCCAAAATATAGTACCCCCTGGGCATGGGGTCCATGCCACACGGTGTTGAAACACCAGAGCAGGGAGCCCAAACAAGGACCAGGCTTGCGGGAGCCTCGTGCCCGCACCAGTCAGTCACAGTGCAGTCCCCGGCCCCAAGACGACCACCATCTGGCCCTGCGGCCACGTACGGAAGCCGCACACCGAGGCAACGCCCTCCCAGCCTTCCTTTCTCCCCCCTCCCCGTTACACGCGGCCCCAAGTCGCCTGAGCAGCCTGCTTCTGGAGACGCTACAGGTCTTCCCTCAAAAGACTGTGCATCATCCAGAAGCGTGTCTGTGGTGCTACAGGCCAGGTCTGCGTGCCGAGTCACAGTCAGGACCATCAGAGGGAATTCCTGATGCCTCTTTTACAGACGCGAAGCCACGGCTCGGAGAGGCTGCTGCCCTGTTCCTGTGATTCCAAGGGTAGTGCTTTCCCACTCTGTGGGCAACAATAAAGGTTTCTTCCATCTTTTGTGACTTCCTTCAAATTTGGTATTAGCCTCTAGATACTTGGGAGATACAGAATTAAGAAGTCAGCTAATTTGAATTGAATTATGCAGTCGGACTTTGGCTTGATGGCCACTGTCAGCAAACAGGAATCATTCTGAGACCCAGAGACGCCCCTTCCCCGGACACACGGGGAGCCGTGGGAGTTCATGTCCCAGTTAGTGGGGTGTCTCTGAGCCACACTGTCCATGGCTGTGCACTGCTGGGAGGAGCCCATCTGCCTCACCATCCTGGAGGGGCACAGGCAGCCAGGGCCCCTCCCGGAGGGGCTGCCCCCCACCCCTGCCCCCAGGGCACTCCCCCAATTCACGCAGGGGTGAACAACTAGCACCACAAAGGGGTTAACGGGGATGGGGCCGCCTGGGCGCCCAGATCCTGTCTGGCCCCGCCCATATGCAAATCTAACCTTTCTGATATTTCAGCATTATAAACCCAAAGACAGGATTTCAACAGGAAAATATTTACTGAAGGCTTTCTCTTTCATAATCTATCGATTTTAATATCCTTACCACTTTGGCTAAATGTCAATTTTACCCTGAGGACCTACGATTGCAAATTTGAACACACTTTATTTATTTACAGCATTCAAAATATTAGTGTTGGAAATGAGTAAAGTTTGAGTATTTCAGTGTTCCCATTTAAAGTTTGTTTTTCCTATTTGAATAATGCTGGTAATCTGCCACGGTAATTGGGGCCGACAGGCCCCGTGTGCAACCCCGGGCAGAAGCTAGCACGGCATTTCCTGCAGCGACACACAGCTCGTTAAGTGTGGGGCCAGCTTCCCCACTTAACCTTTGGGACCACAGGCACCTGATTATCACTATCATTTAACCAGAAGCCAAATCCTCTCTCCTCTGATCATTTCTGGTCCAAATGTGCAGCCTGGGCCAATCCGTGCGTGACCACCACCAACACTGCACATCTCAGACCCAGGCTCCTCGGGACTTGGAGTGGCAGCTCAGGGACTTCGCCCCCCTCCATGGCCCCACCGCCCACACGTGCTCCTGGCGTTAGAGAAGTGGGGGGTCGCTTTGTGAGCCTCCCTGGAGGAGAAGTCTTTTGGTGGCATCTCCTTGCCCAGGTGTGCACAGGGAGGCCTCGTGAAGGACACATTAACCCCCTCCTGCTGCCAGGGACCCCTTTGCGGGCTTTTTCTAAATTGTTAAATCACCAATGATGAGTACTGCTGGATGTCTCTTTTTCGTATTTAACAAAGAATTTCTGTTGTGAATGACATCAGTTTATTCTCCCAGGTGTTGGGAGTGGGTCTTTATAACCATTCTGTGCAGGGAAGTGGGCCCTTCCCAGGTACCAAGGGCAAGCCTCTCCTGGCCCCGCCCCAGAGCACACCAGACCCTCACCTGCCCACTGCAGGGGATGGGGGTGTCTGGAAGGCCATCACCCCACCCCTAAATTGTCTGGAGGGTGTACTCCCAGCCAAGGACAGGCTGTACAGACCATGGAGGGGTCTCTGCAGGACCCCATCCCCCTCCCTCCCTCCCTCCCTCCCAGGCAAGGACAGGCTACACAGACCATGAAGGGGTCTCTGCAGGACCCCATCCCCCACCCCCCCATCCTTTCTCCCTGGATGGTCACAGGCTTGGGCACCTGCCTCCAGCTCCTGTGAGTGCAGGATGTCTCAGGGGTGGAGAAGCAAGAGCAGTGACAAGCTATGGCGTGAGTCCAAGGGCCGCAGGTTCGGTGATGGGGGGAGGGGGGAGGGACAGCAGGCTCACCTGCTCTGGAGCCCCCAGACCGCGCCGCACCTGTCCCCCTGCAAGGCCCCCTGGCTTCCCCCCTTATCACACAGAATGCCCCAAATGGGGCCCAGCCATCCCCAAATTCTGCCAGCCTCTGCCCCTTAGAACAGAGGGGCTGCTGTCCCCTCCCTGGGCAAGTGCTTTGAGGGGACCCTCACCCCACTCAGTGCCCCCGGAGGCCTCGTCAAGGATGGAGGGTTAGCCTGAGGTTCAGCTGTGGCTGCGGGCTCCCTCCACTTCCATCATCCGGGGTCGGATGCGTCGCTGTGTGCGGACTCCTCTCCTGTCCACTTCTACAGCCAGGAAAACCGAGGGGCATAGTTCCGTTCCCAACGTTCCGACAAACCCTCCCAGCAAACCCAGCAGCTGGAGGACCCTCCCTGGAGCCTCAGGAGGGAGCACGGCCTTGACCTTGACCTCGGACTACCGTCTCCAGAGCCGGGCAGGGGCACGTTTCTGCTGTTCCGAGCCACTGTTTGTGGTCTCTGGTTCCAGCCACCCGGGAACCCCGGCCCAGTGTGTCTGGGACGCGTGCCCACGCCCTGCATGTCTGTCTCCGGGTCCCGCGGGACAGACGGCCTCCCCAGCTCCCAGAGGAGGGGAGGCACCTCACCCAGCGGCCTGGCTTCCTCAGCGCCCAGCAGGCCCCACAGTGCCCCCGGCCACACCCGTATGGCGCCCGCCACTCCGGGTTTCGGCAGCAGCCGCGGCGGCCCCGGGAAAGGCCTGAGCCCCCAATGGCACCTAGAAAGGACCCCCCGCCCCGGGAAAGGCCCCCCGGCCTCGGGAAAGCAATCCCCCCCCCTCCGGCCTCACCGAGAAAGCACCCCCGGCCTCACCAGACAAGCAGGCGCCCAAGCTCGGCGTGGTTCCCGCGCGTTTCCGCATCGGGGAGGCAGGCCTGTTTCCGCGTGAACACGGGTCACTGCCCGTAAACCCGGCCTTAAAGCCATCTCACCCGTGCGGCGCCACGTGCGGACGCCGGGGCGGAAACGAGCGTCCGCTGCGTCGCGGAGCCGCCTGCCACCCGGCGGGTAGGCGGGCGCCTGACGAGGCGCCGCTCGGTCTGCGCGACCAGGGAAGCACGCAGGAGCCGTACGGTGACGACGGAGGAAGACCCCTCGGGAGCGCGAGGCACCACGCTCGGCATTTCAGACCCACGAACGCAGCGGACCCTCACGGAAACACCGTCAGCTCGAAATCTCAGGCTTACCTGCGGTCCTCGCCACAGCGCTGCGCCGGAGCGACGCCGCCACGCGCCGGTCTCCCGCTGCGCCCAGCGGCACGCCCACCGGGCCGCGTGGTGGGAGGAGCCTGAGGAACGCACATCCGGGCACCACGCCGGCCTCCCGCTGCGCCCAGCGGCACGCCCACCGGGCCGCGTGGTGGGAGGAGCCTAAGGAGGAACGCACATGCGGGCAACACGCCGGCCTCCTCACCGCGGAGAGCCTCTTCAGTAGGGAGATCGGTCACACTAGGGAACTGTCAACAAGCGGGTTTTTTTCGACTGTGTGTGTGTGTGTGCACGCGTGTGCGTGTACGCTCACTCTGAATGTATTGTGCACAACTGTGTACGTGTGTAGGCATGTACTGTGACTGTATTTGGAGGTGCACGTGTGCGTGCCTCTCGGAGTGCGTGTGAGTGCACGTGTGTGTGCGTGTGTGCACGCGCGCATGTGCAGAAGCGTGCGGGGAGGCGGTGGGGCCGGCCGGAGCGGCGCCGCCAGGGGGCCCTGAGGCCGTGGGGTAACGGAACGGGTTGCGCAGCAGCGAAGACGGCACCGCGCGGGCGGTGTGTGCCGGCCCCAGCCGCGCTCGGGCCCCGGAGGAGAGCGCAGGCCGGCGCCCCGCGGGCGGGGGGGGGGTGAGGCCGCCCGACGCCGGTTCAGGGAAACGCCCGGCGCTTTGCCCAGGCCCCGGGGTCCCCCGGGCGCCGCGCGCTCAGCCGCCAAAGGCCCCGGTGCTTGTGTCTTTCAGGAATTCGCGGACTCCGTGTCCCAGCTGGTGACGCAGAAGTTCCGCGAGCTGACGGCGGGGCTGGCGTCGGCGCACGCCCGCCACAAGGCGCTGGCGGGGATCGTCATGAGCACAGGTAACGCCCGGCCGCCGGCGGGGCCTCGCCTCGGGAGGCGGGCCGCTCTTCCCCCCGGGGGCGCGGGCACGGAAAGCGGCGCTGGGCCCAGGCCGCGCAGCTCCGCAGGCCGTGAGGACCCGGCCTGAGCGGGGCGCCAGGCTCCCCGGCAGGCGGCGAAGGCTGCGCGCCGCGGGGTCGCGGGGCTGCGGCCCCTCAGCGCGGGGAGTCGGGGTCCCCACGGGGCACGCGAGTTGGGGCGCACCCCTTCCGGCCAGAGGGTTCGCGGACGGGCCCCGCCCCACACGCCCGCGCCGCGGGAGGGGTCGTCCGGCCGCGGAAGGTCGTGGCATCGGACAAACAGGGCAGGAGACGCCAGGGCGGATCTTCAGCAGCCAGTTTTGGTGAAAACGCCTCATCACAGCCTATGAATAGTTCCTAACCCGCTGCTTACTTGAATTCTACCGTTTCTGGCTCCACGGCCCAGGTCGCGTTGGTAACTGACTTGGGGCCAGGTTCACACAGAGATTTTTCGTGTCTCCACACAGTCCACCCATCTGATGACCAAACAGATTTATGTTAAAAATCCGTTAAAGCCAGAGAGTTGGCATGTTCTCCCAGCTGCCGGTGGAGCAGCAACGCCACTCAGGACCCCGTGTCCCTTCCATTCAGGGCAAGTGGAAAGAAAAATCCACCCCTCGTAGTCTGGTGAGTAGAATAAGGCATATGAAACGCTCTGAAAGGTAACAGCTACTTTCTGAGGACAGTGTGCTGAGGCCAAGGCAGTGCAGTTGTGTCAACGAGACCACAGTGTCCGGTGCCTCCATTCAGCCCAGGTCACTGACACCTGCCCCCTCTCTTATCCACAAACATCTGCCTCCTTGTGGGAAATGGGGTATTCTGCAGGCTGGGAGTCCACCTCCATCAAGATCATCCCTGCTGGACATGTCGGTTCTTCTCTCCAGCCAGCGGGTGGCCCAGGAAAGAACAGCCCCCACTTTAGGACACAATCTAGGAGACCGTGGGAGGTGCTAGAGGCCAAGAACAGTTGCTTGGGTTTGAATCCCAGCCCCACCTGCAACTAGCCATGACTGTAGGTCAGTCAGCCTCTCTGCAACTCAGAGCAAAGGAAGAAGGAAGGAAGGGAGGGGACGAGGGAGAGAAAGGAAGGAGAGAGGGGAGGAAGGAGAATAATATCTTGCAAAGACTCATGGGAAAACGGCACGTAAAAGTGGTCAGTAAAAACACCATTTTATGTGCAGGCAATTTTTCTGCATGAATGAAATGTATTCTGTGAAGTGCAACCATACGAGGTTAAGCTTTGCTAATTAGTAACTGTAAACATTGAAGAATAAATGCTGAAATTTACTTTCCTGTTATAGAGAGAAGATTTAATAAACACACTGATTAACAAGATGTTAGAGCAATGTGTGCAAAATTACTGACATATTTTTTTTTAATCATTGACTTAAAGCTGGCATCACACTTGACCCCAGTTCTAGTTCAGGTATTTAAGCAAAATGCGTAAGAAGCCACAGAAGGGAAGTATGTTCTCACTCAAGTTCCCATCTGTGTACAAAGTTGTAAAAGTGCACTGATTACGCAGGAAAATGAGACTCGGGTGGGTGTGGCTCAGCACCTGCAACGTGCTTCCCCTCGTGGCCGTGGGGAGAAATGTGATCGCAAAAACCAACACTTAGGGATAGAATAGCTTTGACTTCTATCTAAATCACTCAGTCACTGGTCAGAACGCCAGGAGAAGAGAGCACGGGACGAGATGGTGCTCTCCTGCCAGCTCCTCGAGGGAGCCATCGCTCAGCGTCTAGCTGTGACCTCGCGACCCCTAACACCGTATCCGTTCCGTGTGTCCACTGTTTCAATTCTGAGTAATACTGATTTGCACTCCTATAATCTGACACTTTTTTAGTTTTCATATTTGTAATATTTGTAGTTTTAGATGATGTACTTATGCTCTTATTTCTTGTCCTACAAGCTGAAATGGTTCATTTGCAGGCGGCCCTGTCTCTCGGTGCGTGTATATTTATATCATCGTACAACATCTGTACTTACCTTCTATTCGCCGCCGTACTGATCTTCCCTACTCCATCCTGCGAGCCAAAGGTGGAAAACCAGCACACGGCCTCCATGCAGGCAGGACGCTGTAGGGCCCCCGGCGCCAAGCGCGGGCTGACCTAGGCTTGCTGTGCTGTCACCAGACCATGTCCTGAGAGCCCTGTCGTCCAGTCTCATAGATTCTTCTTCTGCCACCACTCAAAGTCGTGTCACATTTAGGGTCGACCCAAATGTGTAGGTAGACTTTCTTAAAGAGCTGCTGAGGGAGTATGTATGTTTTCAGGAACACTGACCTTTCTTTTCTTTCGCTGAAAAGAAGGAAGTGCCTGCAAGTCCCTGCATCTGTGGACAGGCCCGCACCCTCCCCGGGGCCCCAGCCGCGCCCCAGCACCCACGACACCGCTCTCTTCCCTTCTCCCTGTCTGACAGGTGTAGCTTCCAGAAACACCCTTTAAAATGCGTGGGGGACAGAAACCAGCAGACACAGTGTCCCAACCGCGCTGTCACGCTCCTGGAATGGATTTGCTTGGGGAGAATTCTGCACTGAAAATTACTTTCCCTGCACATTTGGAGGGGGTTTTTCTATTATCTCTCACCTAATGTTTCTTCCTAGAAACAGCTGATGACATCTTTGCCAGGTCACCCCCACCTGCCAAGGAGGGGAAAGGGTCCTTTCTTAAACTGAACATTTTAGGGGTGCCTGGGTGGCTCAGTCGCTTAAACCTCCAACTCTTGATTTTGACTCAGTTCATGATCTCACGGTTTGTGAGTTCAAGCCTTGCCTTGGGCTCTGCGCTAACAGTGTGGAGCCTGCTTGGGATTGTCTGTCCCTTTCTCCCATTTCTCTCTGCCCCTCCCCCTGCTCATACTCTCTCTCTCAAAATAAATAACCTTTAAAAATAAGTAAACTGAATGTTTTATAATTTCACAAGAATATGTGTATGTGTGAGCCATGCACCTGCCCTGATTTAAGCTGTTCGGTTTCTGTACTGTTTTTGTCCATCATACTGTGGATAAATTCCTTTGTTTACACACGTTTTTGTCAAACATTCAGTATTCTGACTGGATCCGCCGTCTTACCTTCCTGGTGTCGTCTACCCTTGTCTTCTGTTCTTGGGCGTTTCTGAAACTTCTCTGATGGCCCTTCAGCCGCCCATCATTTCTTAATCTCTGCAAGCCATGTTCATCATTCATCACGCCAGGTCCCTCCCTTCTCTTGTTTTTTTGAGGTGACGCTCCCCACAGGCCCCTGGGGAGACTTAGTAGCTGAGCCCTGGGCCTCCTTTGTGAGGGAACTTTGTATACTGTCCATCTCTTTTGTCTCTTTTTGCTTTTGTCTGAATATTCACAGCTGTGAGAAAATACTAGCTTGACTATCACCGGTGCGGCTCGATTTCCTCAATAATTGTATCCCTTTCCTGAGATACAGCGGAAGGTGGGCACTTCTCTGATCAGAAGCCTCCTTGACCCAGGTGGGTCGGGGACCACGGTGACTTAAATTAAAAGTCACCCTTGGGGCCTGCTGGCTCGGCGCCTGCCTTCTCTGAGCCCACCGGCAGGCCACTGCTCCCTCGTGATGGCTCCTGTCCCTCTGCCCCCCACACCCTCCCAAATCCCTTTCTTCTGTGGATCCCTCAGGAGGAGAAGCAACGTGTTGCTCACTCTGCCCTCCCAAACCGGAAAACCTGGACACCGGCTAGCCACGTTGTTGGAGCAATGGCTGTGTCTTCCCCTTTGTGAAGAAAGGTGTTTCCATGAGAAAGCAATTCTTGAAGGGACCATTAATGATGATTTCCATTTGATATGCAAATTTATAATTTTGATAGCACTTTTGCATATACTAATCAAGATAATTGCTACAACCCTGAGAAGTGGGAAAGGCAGGAATCTTAATTACGGCTTTTAAGAATACAGACAAGGAGACCAAGAGGGTAGGTGCCTCTCCCTGAGCCCTGGGAAGACACGGGGGCCCCTTCAGATGCGTGCACGAGACGTGGTGCTGACACACTGGATCGTTGCCTGAAAATGACTGACTTCTAAGCTTATTAAATAAAGAACCAGAAGAAGACTTCCCCAGTGTGTTCAGAGGTTTACGCTCCAGCCCTGCGCTGCCGGCCTGCCCTCCTTACACACGCGTCTGGTTTCAGCTGACGTGCAGTTGCCATTGCTCACAAATGCCCGGGGTTTATGACTGCCCGGCAAAATGCACAGCCCCTTGAAGATGGGACAGGGAAGAAAACACTGAGGTAGAACTTCGGGAAAACAGCCCAGAACAACTCCATTCAGAAGGTCAGAGCTGTGCGGGCCCCGTGGGCCGGCCTGTCTTCCCGGGAAACGCTGCATGTCTCCAGTAACAACATGGAACGCGTGCTCCGCTGGTTCAGAGTGTTGCTCTGGACCTAAAATGGCCACACGAGGGAAAGAAATCTGCCGTTGGGCTGTCGCACCATGCTCCGGCGGGGCACGGAGCCAGCCACCAGGTGAGTGGTCCTTGCCCCATCCTCCCATCACACCGAGTGCCCCAAAGCCCTCGGGGGGGCCGCTCCCCGGCCCCGCTGACAGGCTCGGAGGCAGCCAGCGGGGAGGAAGGACCTGGTGTCCAGGCTTGTCACCAGGCGCAGGGCCCCCTCTTGTACGGTGAGGAGCGTGAGGGACATGACTTCAGTCTCCGGCAGAGACATGAGGTTAAACCGCAAAACGCAGGATGTATTTCACTGCTGAGCCATGAGTGGCATGGATGCTAACACGCTTATGCTGAATGCACCTTAAAACGGACAGCAGAGAAGAGGCCTCACTGGCTGAAGTCACCTGGGCCCAGCCTGTCTCCGGAGGAGCTCATGGTGGGGGGCAGGAGGAGCCACCTGCGGAGGGGCGGCAGCTGACCAAGGCCTCGGCTGACCCAGCACCAGGCACCTGAGTCCCCGCCTCTCGCCCGACGTGCCCACGGA